TTGCTGATCCCGCTACACCACAGAGCGACGTCCGGCTTCAAGGTAAGCGTCTGGTCAAGCTTGTTTGAGTGTGTTATGCCTGTCGGTGAACTCGAAGCTCTGTAGCGTGGGTTCATCCGGCAAGGCCAAGAGACTTTGTGTATTGGCCGATTATTATCGGGAGGGTTTACGTGACGGCCTATTGTTGCCTATTTGCACGACTGGGAGTGCTTGAATTGCCTCCCTTTTATTTTTTCCAGCCGAGTGTTGAACACTCGGTGATCTCGTAAAAGGCTTACCCGTGCCTGGTACCCTTCCGCTGTTGGGACCACGAGGATTCAAAACACCTGCTAGCTTTGCTCGTGCTAGTAGCGTGTTCTTAGTTTTACTGGTTGGCCTATATAAGTAGTTTACAAGGTCCAGTTTGTCCCGGTGCAAGGGCAGAACTGGGGTCTTCAGGTCCGCCCGAACGATCGTTAACTATCCTAGTAGACGTATTGTTGTGGGAACGTCCTAGCTACATTTGGAGCTAGAGTTCACGTGGGATTTCCAACACCACACTTTCAGCCCTGGTCTTGGGCTGTAAGTGTCCTTTGGATAAGGAACTTAATATTAGTGACTCTTTGAGTCGAACGTCTTCCTCTGACGCTAAAGCTACGGCAGCCCCGCTGCAAGAATCCTCCTTGACACATGAGCGAACGTTAGTGTGATCACTGACGCCTTTGCCAAGAAGTTGCGACTCCGAGATGTACCCGGTCACGGACGCTGTATTGACATTCAAGGAATTAACGAAGGCAAGGTGTCTACGACGCGACGAGCGTGCGTCAAGATTACGCTCGGATGGGAGATGGTGTACGAGTTCGAGATGTGGGTAATTACGCATAGTGCAGGCGTCGACGTGGTGCTCGGGATGGACTTTATGATCCCAGCTGGGATCTGTTTCACCGCGCGGCGCAATTACCGCACGAAGTTCAAACCCACTGATCAAGACCAAGAATATGATCGACAGCGAAGAATACGGCTCCATGTTAATGCCGGGCCACCCGAGCGTTTGGACATTCAAGCGCACGAGTTGCGAGAATATCGACTAGCGAAGCGCCAAGTCGGG